AAAAGATACGAATGCTACAATTTTTGCACTAAAATTTACTAGAGAAAGACATTATATTCTTATTGATCCAGTGATCCTCTTACATTTAACAATTGAACTATGAATTTATGATAAAATTACTATCAAATAGCAAAGTTACAAAACAGTTACCCCTCTGCTTCAGCCAAATGGTGCCATATGTACAGCATTCCAAGGACAAATAAAAAGTTCTCTTAACCTTTTACAGTGATTCTACTAGGAAACCAATCTCCATTGTCTCGGCCACCGGATTCTGAGTCTATCATGAGCCATACAACCTTACTACCACCACCAACAGAGGGTAGATGCATCTTGAGCTGCTCAAAGCCCGGAACTAAAACTTTTTCTATCCACTCTTGTAGACTGATTCGGTCGTGCAATACCCCTCCTAAGATCTTTTCTATAACATCGTCTTCTACCTTTATGGGCATGTTGTCATCCACAACCATTGCAAATTTCACCGAGATTGTTTTCTTGATCTCATGGAGAACAAAAGTGAGATCGACTGGCTTGAAAGGTATGGAATCATCGACATTGATAGCTAGCTCGTGAGGTACTGATGTAATTGAGAAATGTGTGTTTTCAAGGCCTAGAACATCTTCATGATCGATGGTGAGAACACTTGAATTGAAAGATGTATCAGTTTCGTCTTCATTGTCTGCTGCAAGATTTAGGTCCAACGATAGGCCAGATCCAACTTCAATTCGAGGCTTTGTAGGTCTATCTTCATCCGATAACCAATTCCCTTGGCGTTTTGCACTCTTTTCTTTGACTATGAGTTCTAACTGACAATTGCCACTTGTTACAGAGGCAAGCTTCTTTTCATCAACAAAATGACAATCTTTGGGATTAGTCATCGACCAATCTCCCGTGAGAATAAATATGGCATTGCCAAGACTGATATCACGGCCGTGAGTATCAGTGAGTTGACCTCTGTCCATTGCTTGTTTTATACTCCCACGCACCATCATATCTGCTTCATCAATGTCTTCAAGCATGATAACTGAAAATGGATTTCTATGAACTGCCTCTGCAATGCGATCAATTGCTGTTTTACCACGAAAATTTACATCCGAGTCTTCATAATCACGTCGTGAGCTAAGACAGTTCAATACTGGATTAGTCCCACATATTTGCTCCGCAAGTACCGATGCCATCTTCTTCTTGGCAACTCTGTCAGGGCCTGTGAACAACAACCATATGTCACCCCTTGATCCAGCACCTCGTCGTTTTCCATTGCCCAATCTACAGTGTGTTATGGCCGAAGCCACTGCCGAGGCTGCTTCTGCCTGCCACCATGCCTTCGCCATGAGTCCCTTGAGGAGCTTTTTGTATGAATCAGAATCCAATGCACTCTCAAACTTATCAAGGAGCTTGGTCTTTGGTTCAGAAGAAATGTAACCCACGGAATCTTTAACATAGTCTTCAGTAGTTTTCTTGGGTGTACTCTCAGTTCCTTTACGTCCAAGAATGAGATCCGTCCTCACTGGACTTACCGGGGGACTACCTGCAGGGCGACTGGTAACTTGATTTATGTTCAACTGCAGAGATTCTCCAAGCGGTTTGCTCGTCTGTAACTTAGGATGGAAAGATTGATGAGCAAGCAGGGATGGATTTTTCAAGCTCGTCATAGATAGAGTTGCTGCTGGAGCAGTTCTCTCTGAACAGATGTTGCGATGAAAATCGGGATGCAGATTCAAGCACGTATCTACCCATTTCTTCTGTAATTCTCGAGTTTTCTGCTTAGAAAGCATGCCTTGATCGTTTCCCTGTAACAAATATAAATGACATTATTTTCCCTTCACGTGAATATAACTTGGTTTTTCAAGAGTTATAGTTGAGCAAAACGTACTTGTGTGTCATCAGTTGCGATAGCATCCTGACTGTCGAGTTTGGCATTTTGCAACCACTGAGGCAGAGATGGTTGAGTGGCTTCTGGTTTAGCTTTAGAAAATGATTTCTCAATGGCAACTAGTTTTGCCACCTCTTTTTCATAATTCTCTGAACATCTTGGGCAAAAGGTTGTTCTCTGAGCAGTATCCAAGTTCTCCGATAGATGCTGTGTCAAAACCGGTTGCCGAATTGGACTCTTCAATGAAGTCAAAGATTCTGTAGGAGTGCTTGGAATTTTCTCAGTTCCTAGCCTACGATACAATCAATTCAGAAAAATAAAATAATTGATAATTGTAGAATAAAGGAAAACACTTCTCCAAATCCTAGCATAAGCAGTACTACAAACATAACTGTGCTCCAATAGTTGCCATAATTAATAGCTTGATCAAATAAAAGAGAGACTCGATTCCTTAGGATATGAAAGATATACTTTGTTGAAAACTCTCAACATACCGGGATTTAATCAACATGTACATGAATAATTCTATGATCGGTTCATTAAAAGGCTAGTTAAACAACTTGGAAGCACCAAAACGAATATTAATGCAAGAATATACCGTGGAAACATCCCTGGCAGAGGTGAGCGCGAAGCAATAGGTACTGCCTGCAAATCCCAATCATTTTCCATTGTAGTATGAAAAACCTGGCACCTCATATAAGTTTCATATGTTGCTGTTCCAATCAACCAAAGCTTATGATCACCATTACTACCCTCCCTTCCAAATCGGGCCAATAAATTCGCCATTTCCACCACGGCCGCCCTCCCCATCTCTGAAACCACCTGCTGATGCTGTACGCCACCAAAACTCACAGGATGCTCCACCAGCCATTTCAAACCTCCCAAATCAAGAATTATCCCTCCACTCTTAATCCTACTCTCAATCATGCCGCCCAATTCCTTTATCTTCGTGGGTATTTGATTCTTATCGGATAGAAAATATTTCTTAATTGAGATTGCTTGAACATTACTCAAAGGCCCTTCGATTTCGAATTCCTTATTCTCTAGTTTCTTCAACAATTCCTTCACCACAGCTTCAGGCTCCGAATCCCCGACCAATACTGGGTTTCTCTTCTTAGTTCTCATCAAAATATCAATCACTTTTTTCACTTCTTCATTCCTTTGATTCACAATCTGCCCCGACCCCCCTTGCTGCAGCCTTGGATTCAAATACATGTTTCGATTAGACAATGAAACAACTGCAGATGGTTTTGGCACACTCAGTGTTAATAATTGACCTGGAATAGAAAGCATCCTAGGTGCAATACCTCCAAAAGCTCCTCCCAAATTCATATTAGCGCCAGCAACATGATGACTATGAGCATTCGCATTCGAATTCGAAGTCTGCAATTGCTCAATCGTGGCCTTAACAGCAGGACTAGAAAAACTTGCCTCGCGCATAACCCTGCTAACACTGGGATCATCCAATATCGAAATAATAAGCTGCTCCAGCTCCACCTTGACAGCAAGCAGTGGCTGCTGTAGCTGCTCGGGGCACCCCCGCCTCTGATGCGCCTGCGCTCGCTTTAGAGCCGCCATTAGCGAATTCGAAATACCGGGCTCCATCCCAGGAGCCATGTTCTGGGCCGTGGGGAGCCGCTCCAGGGCCACGCTGAAGCAGAGCTCCAGCGCCCGGCACTGAAGCGGATGGCTAGAATTGGGGTGTGAACGGATGCATGCTTGTCTTAAAAACCCCGATGGCGCCGCAAGTAGAGTCGCCGCAACGTGTAGCGGCGTCGTCTGTCCGTGTTTCCTGCGGCCCGCCTCCGCTATTGAATGGTTCAAAACACTCCCCGCCTCCGGCGTCAGAGTCTGCTGAATAGTATTCAACCCAGTTCTCATCTTCTTCTATAAAAAAACGAACAGAACCCAATAATTCAGAAGTGAAGAAAATTTTATTTATACAAAGAAAATTAAAATCCAAGAGGGTTATATTTATCCTTCAATTGTGGTAATCTTGAATAGGATTGTGCATACTTTGTATGCGTAACACCAAAAAGCTGGATGAAAATTCAACGCTAATAAGGAAGGATCACATCCCTTTTCACATTGAAGTATGAAACTAACAAAAAAATAAAAAATCCAAATCTAAAAAGAAAAATGTCATAATAAATGTTTTCTCACTGATATTCTTGGATTAATGTGAATGAGATAATAAACGAGATGAAAAAAGGGAGCAACTTTTTGATATAACTACATAAAAAGCCATAAAAAAAACTTAGTAGGAGGTGTCAGAGAAGGGAGCATGCAATGTTTCTTGTTTTGTTTTGTTTTGTTTTGTTGTAGAGAGAGAGAGAGAGAGAGAGATGGAATTTATGGAAAATAGGGTCAATGGAAATGCTATCACTTGCAAAGATTTCTGGGTAAAATTTGCTTTCTTGGTACAGTTAAATTCCCATGTTCTTGCCACGTCTAGTATAGTCGACCAATTTCGTCGACAATTTTTTTATCTAAAAAGCTTTGTCGGGTCAAATGAAAGTATCAAATGGTCAATTATAACCAATTGAGATTTTACTATAAAAGTCGAATAATTTAACGTTCATTCACTTTCTTATTTACTGTTTACTTCAACTATTTACGAGTTTGTTGATTGTAGCACACGACTACGAAAATATGGTACGGTCATCTCAAATATTTCGCCCACCTCGACTTCTACACAAGGACAAAGGTTTAAAGAAACAAATAAAAATGAATGTTTAAATTTCAATGATCAAATTGAAACACGCATGACCGGATGCGTTTTTAACCCTAACTATTCATATTGCCAAAGATGATTCCCTACCTGAAAAGTTGACGCATAGGTAATCAATCACTCCCTGTTTGCCTTTAAGCCAAATTTCTGCAAATTTCGTACTTATAAAATATTAATGAGGTTATGAAATAGATCGATAAGGAAATGATAATTTCTAACGAAGTTTTCATGTTGATTCCTAAATACAGTGCTTCTTTTATGCTATCCGTTGGTAATAGTGGAGTATGATTGACATAATAAAGAACTTCGAGGTGTAATCTTCTGTTCAATACTAAAATCAAAATTGAAACATAACATCTAAGATTACATTAATCGATTATACAAAATAGAAGTAATTATTCTATTACCATATTTCACCTTCAAGTAAAAACTCGCGAAGTTGTTTCAGAGTATTAAAACGAAAAAATCTAAAAGATAATGAACTATTGTTTCTAAGTCATCTATCTCGAAATACTTTTGTTGTATACTCTTGATAAGCTAGCGTTTATATATAGATGTAGAAGGACGTGTGAAAAGTAAGAAGCCCCTTTGACAGCTTTTCATCTGCAAATAATTCTAGATGTATATTGAAAAATAAATTTATT